CGTCATTTAATCTCAAAGAATGTTCTTTTTTAAACATCTGTCTTATGCCCTAAGTGTTAAGCCATAACAATGCTTACAACCCTCTCGCGCTCGCGACACTGCTTCTGACTTGAGCAGTAGTCACGTCCACGTACTCTTGTTCATCTTTCTAAGGACAGTGGTAGCGGCAGTGGCTTCAGAAGAAATTCCACAGACACGAAATGTCTTTTAATTGTCTTTGATTAGATTAACCTCAACGATTTCTCCAACGACACTATATAATCATAGTATGATGCCCTCCTTATTGAAGTTAGTTTTCCAATTCTAACCATAATTCTACATCAAATTCATAACAGCAGTGATAATAATTATTTTATCTCACCTGCAAAGAAATGTTTATATGGCCTTTAGCAAAAAGATTAGGTCACTAAACCACCGCAAATTTCTTACCTTAATTCAAGACTTTTGTGATTTTACCTGAAATAAAATATTTAATTTATGAATATAAAGATAGGTACGAACGCGTTCGTTTTGACGTCAGCGAAAAATAAGCTGCTACCTTGAATGAGGGAAAGCGAAACAGATATTTACATATTCGCTTAACTTTTAAAAAACATATCATGAAATATCTGCAAAATAAACAATTGGAATCTTTTCCTGACGATTTATTGATGAAGGCGGAAAACGCTTAGAAGTCGATTATCCAGGAAGGAATGGCTCATTCTTTCTTCTTACTTTTTCCCCACCATTCCTTATTTAAGTGTACGCGGAAGCGTGTCATTCCGTACTCGATTCAGGGCAACGTCTCCGCCAATCTGTCCTCAGTTTTGCGTTTTTGGCCTTAAGATAGTGCTTCGTTCGCAGAAAAGTCGGAATCAGATATTGACATGAGGGACTCTTTAAGGAAATAGAACATTACATTAGCAGCCATCTACCTGCCTTGTTTGCTCAGTTAAGGAATAGTCTCCTTTTGTATATGGAACTAAGTAATAGGCTTATGACCTATGGCTTTTTAGTTACTTCATACATGAATAAAAATAAATCAAATAAATAAAAAATATATAGATAAAGATCGGTCTCAAAGTCTTTTCTTTGTTTCAAAAATTTGATTTCTTATTCAGAAAAAATATTTCCTATATTTTTGTAATTAATGATAGCGTTCTGAAAAGTCGACTCGAGCTGAATAAATTGCGTTTTAAATATCTCTTCAGGTAGTTGCTTGTATGTTTACGAGGAGAGAAAAGACAGTAACAATGACTATCGGTTTACGATGATAACGATTGGAAACTACACATTTGACACCTCCTGTCTCAATTTCCCTGTTTTTCTTTTTAATTTGTAACACTTAAGACTGGTAGTAAGTGATAATTATGTGTGGTAATGTTTACTAAAATATTCACAGCATGATTCGCTGTAGTACGTATGCGCGCGGTACTGTATGTTGATTGACACAAACCACAGGTAGCTTAGCGGCCATAAGCATGTCTTCTCTGTCTTTGCTTTCGAACTACTCTAATGATTTTAGTTTAGTTATGTTTATGGGCCTTTTATAATCCTAAGGCAAGGGTTAAATTTCAAATGCATAACCGTACATATTGCCATATGTATGCACTAAGCCGTGTGCATCATCAACATAAAATACAAAGCGACGCCAAGCACTAATTACTTTTAGTAAGTAGAGGTCTGGAAACCCCTTCTTTTTCTTTTAGAATAGTGATCTAAAAACTTTGGGAAATATTCGCCCGACGCAATACACTGTAGATTGTAAATAAATGAAAACACGCATAACGACGTACATACATACATCATATATATACATTTAGTGTCTTGCAAAGTTATGACTGACGATACATACGATGATTACAATAAAATTTAAGTACATTGTCTAATTACGAGGAAAAATATTTGTTCAAATAATGAAGAAATTAAATTTTTGCAGAAATTAGAGATAACTGAAACAATGTCAACAAAGTGCTTGGAAAATATTCTTAAAAACCTTCCTAAGAATTTGTTGGTCTGTTTGTTTTTTTTTTTTAATTGTTTCGACAATACTTAGTTCGCTCAACGAAATACATTCAGTATAAGCTGACTATCATAAAATAAAGAGAGTCGGACAAATGTTACTGATTTTTGAACTTCTTTTGCTATCATTGCTGATATCGTGTGCGGTGTGCGTAGTGATATGTTGACTTTAATTCTACATTTCGAACGCAAAAGCAAAGCAAAGCTGATAGGTTTCTCAGCCGAAGGTATTCAATGACTAGATAAAGCGACAATCGCTCTTGTGAATGCAATATCGTCTACTGATTTTTGACATTAGCTCTCCGAGCGTGTTTCCTTATTATTCCCAGGTTTGCAGCTAAAATGCTAACAGGCAAACGGATAGACGGACGCACGTAGTTAAATCGATCGTTACACAAATGAAGATAATATGTATTTCATAAAAGAATCCTACTTTTTACAAAACTTTGATGCATCATCTATCATATCGTTTGTGAAGAAAAATATGATTTGTTTTTTAATAGTTTTTGTCACTTATGGATGTGTGTATGAAAATTAAATTGGAATCGTTTTCCAAGAGGATTAAATTAAAGAAGGAAGAACCTACTGGTATGGATTACTGTTACTCTCTTTCCTAGTTTTCTTTCATTCCTAATGGTTAGAGGTCATCTCACCTCAATGGCAAACTACTGCCGATGAATTTTAGAGGCATCACCAAGAAGAACGTGATCCCGACACCAGAGAATAATTTATGAGTACCGCACTATAAGCGCAGAAGATTTCAATGCCAAAGTCAACCTTTTCATGTCTTCAGAAGCCTTAGTCGGGGGTAGTGTGTAGGCGCGTACGCGCTATGAACCTCTCCTCATTTAAATACCGTTTTCCTTGTAATTGATTTAATCGTAGGTCGTAGTTGATATTTCTCTGAGGACTGTCGCATCTTCTGGGTTATTTTTTCTTCCCACTTCCGTTATATTAAAAATTACTTTAAAAAGAGTTTTTATTACATAAATTAATAAAATTTGAAAATATTTTCT